CAGGCAGTTCTTTGTTCCAGAGAGTGGAAGAATTAAGCATTGTGGACCAGATCCTCAGCTGATATAATTAGATGGCATTTCATTGAAATGGGGGCCAGCTGATCCCAGCTGAGGAGCCAACCCTTGATCTGCAGCAGCAACAGCTGAGGAGTAACAAACAGGCAGAGAAAAGCCTCCCATTCCCTTGCCTTAATATAATAATGAGTCCAGTGCTTTCAACAGGTTTATCAAGAAATCCCTGAGGGTTTAGATAATCCAGAATATTGTATCCCAAATTAAAGAATGGGAACACTCCAAAGCAAAAGGCTGGATTTAGAAGCTTTCTGAAATCAGTTGAGGCTGGTGATGAATTTCCAGGACAAGCCCCCCTCTGCCCAGCTCTGATGATTTGGCAGTACCAGCCAGCCCTGCTGGTAATGGGCAGCCCATCACATGTCCCTACTTTCAGCACTATTTATCTCAGGCTTGCAGCTCAGTGTCCCTCCAGTCAACCTTAGAAAAACCATCATGGGAAAGAGCGGGTCGCCACGCTGCCTCTTCGAATTGGGGGTGGAGATTTGGTCAACATTCGTTCAAAAAATATCAAATAGCTAACAAAATCCTGGGCTAGAAGGCAACCAAAACAATATTAGTATGCATTATTAAAAAAAATATGAGCACACCACTTCAAACATGTATCACTGATTCCTTATACACAAAAAACATTAACAGTGACATCAAGCTTACGGAATTACTTCCTGTTTAGTATCAAGTATATTCCTTAGCGATAGAAGTGATTTTGGCAGTGTGGGAGGTTAATATGCAGTAGCCACTAGATTGCCAGTGTGATTTGCGTTTATAAGGCAAAGCACCAATAAATTAGGTCAGCACATGAATCTTCAGAGGGAGGAAAGAGAGGGAATACAGGAAAAGCACCCGAGGCAGCATCGCTGCAGGGGCCAGGTGAGGCATGTAATACCCTCAGGACCTCCAGCACCATAGATGGAGGTTTTCAGAAAGGAAAATCCATTTTTCCATTAGAAGTAACAATAAAAATATTACACTGATTGAAAATGTGCAATCAGGCCTGACTTACAGCTTGCCCTGCTGCATTCAGGCTTTACATCAGAAGGCTATAAACCGTTATAACAGCAAATAATAGCTGGGTGTGTTTACTCACCCCAACCCATGCTTCATTTATTTACCTGAATACACTATCACGTACACTGACCATTGTCACTGCTCAGTGAGGCAAGCAGACAAAACCAGGGAAAATAAACATCTACACAGATTTCAGCAGCAGATAAGCTACTAATTCTCGCACAAAACAATGAGGAAATGCCAGGATATACGAAAATACCCCCCCCCGAATTCTTGACTGTATTGTTAAATAAAAGCAAAGGTAGAACACGTAAAGAAGTGCCTGGTGTTAATTTGTAATACTACATTAAAAAGCCAGTTAGATCCAAAGCAATCTTGGCTTGTGATTGTAGCAATTCAATGTGAAATTCCCAATGACATTCAAATGCTTCAATAAAACAGGGGAAAGATTTTAATTCAATGACCAAAAAGAAAATAAAGAGTCTATGTAAGGGATTTGATTTCATTTAAATTATTGAAATGAGCTGTATGCAGTGATTTATTAATGTAATAATATTCCATTAAGAACTTATTATGTCCTTGTTTACATAATGCCAGCAATTATGGGGGTAATGCTGGTCCAAAACACAGCACAGCAGAAATGAAAAGCTCTTTGCCACATACTGGAATTCCATATGAAAGCATAGAGTTTAGTTAAGGAGAAATATTTATATTTTTCTTACTGAGACCAAGACCTTGGGAAGTAAAATAATAAACAACTAACTTCTTAAATTACCCAAATCAGGCATTATTACAAAGACCCTGCACCTCTACACACACAAGTTTGCTGCTTAAAAGCTCACTTGAAGAAAACCTTGAACAACAGTCATCAGTTAACAGAAATTTTTGTTTTCTCATCCATTCAAGTCTTGAAGGCAAATTTTTGAAGCCAGGGGAGGTAACCTGCATGCAAATATTGCACTTGCACTGAAAGTGAAGGGGCCAGGGCATCATGGTATGTAGACAGGGATGTAGGGCTGAAATCCAGCTGGTTGGAAACAAATCCCCATTTTTTCCTTTACAGCAGGAAAAGGGAACCTTTTCCTACCAAGGGTTGGTCACATACACCCCACATCCCAGCACAAACACAAAAGCTCTCTTGCATGAAGCTCACACTTGCAGAGGGCCAGCAATGAGGTTGTCCTGGGAAGCTGCACTAGACTTGGAATAGCTTAGACCTGGTCCCTGAGTCTGCCTGCCCCTTCTCTTGTACCTCTTGCCCAATTTCCACACTATCCTGACCTCCACCCCAGCTCCTGACACATCCTAGTGGCTTCATACATCAACAATCTGTGGCTTCCTCACCACAAGCCACCCCTTGCTGGTAACATTTGCTGTTTCAACATTTTCAACATTTTTGACTTTGCTAGTGTGTGGATGCTATTTACAAAGTAGCAAGTATAATCTCAAAAAAGTGAGACTCAGTTCTTCTGCATCCCACCAAAAAAAGAAAAAAGAGAGAAGAAAGAAGGTGAGGTAAGAAATGCACAGATAAGACAGTTCTCCTTTATTCACATCTCTAGGGCATTTTTGTTGCAGCAAAACTTGTCCACAAAGGTCAGGTACAGAAGGGAACAGGGTACATCCACCAGTCTCCCATCTTTAGATAAAACTCAAATGTCTAAAAGGCTTAAGGAACAAACAGCTCATAGAGAAGAGTCAGGGAGATTGAGTTCTCAGGCAGACACAGTTTAGAGGAAACCATACTTAACTGGATAGCCAATAAGCACCAAAGGTCACATTGATGAGAACAAAAAAATGTAGCTTCAAGGAATCAGTTACTTGTTCACAGTACTGTTATTTCACCTTTTGAAAGTCATGTAATTAATTACATTTAGTTGCTTATATTGTATTTCAAAGGTAGTCTCGCTTTCATTATATAACTCTTGAACGTGGAGTTACAACACATTTGACACAATGTTCTGTTACTGCAAAGTAATAGATGTATTCAAACAACTTTATCTTAAAGAACTCATTTAAATAATTTGCAACTTTATCTTCAACATAAGTCTCACCCCCATCTAATACTACACTCCTCAGTTTTAGTAGGGCAAAAAACCCCAACCTGCAGCCTACAAACCCCACTGTGCCATACTAAAGCAGACAATGTGTCATATTATCTATCCTTACACACACCTCACTCAGATCTCTTTTAAAAAGTCACAGCAAAGAGTGTAACACAAGGAATACATCCCTTTTACTCACACCTTCCAGAGCACTGCCTTTGGCTGCCCTCCTCCATCACTCTGCTCCCCAAGGCACAGGATCGAGCATCCACCTGCCCCCTTTTGTACCCTTGGGCTTGATTGATAACCCAGTTCAGCTGATTTCCCTACGAGACAGCAGCAGGAGAAAGGCTACAGCCACAGGCAGGCAAAAAAAGAACCCCAAAACAAAACAGATAGTCTTCCATATGCCATTCATACTGCACCCATCACATATCATATCCCCTCCCAGCAGCTCTGGGTTCCCCAACTGAACCAAAACTTCAAGGCTCCTCCTGATGGGCCTAAAATGCCAACTTCCTAAACTAGATTAAAATAAGCTGAATGTTAGCTCACTGCATGGGGAGGTAGTTGACTTATGAACCAAACTCGATTTGCCAAGCAGGACCATACAGACTTGCTATTTAGCAGCAGTGGGAGGCAGTGACAACAAGGAACTATTGTCACTGTCTGCATAGTCAGCTGTCCACAAAGCCTTTTTCTAAGCTGATTTTGGTGAAAAAAGTGCAAAAATATGGAAAGCTTTGCTTCTGGCTCTGTAGCAAAATATTTTGCCGCAATTAAGTACATTTGTACTTGAAGGATCCAGGGTGACATAATGGCTTCCATGGGAATCAAAGTGCTGCATCTACAGGGAGCTGTACTTCTGGGACTACAAGGTCCCCCTAGGGCAGCAGGTGTTGTTTCTCCTCAAGGTACAGAGCAGTCCATAGGATCATGGCCCCATCAGGTCTTTTTTTTTCATCAATCTTCTTTTCCTGTTGGAAAAGCAGTGATTTCCCTTGTGCAAAACACGATAACATTGCATGGATGTGCTTCAGAGGAGTGCAGAGCACAGGGCTTTGCAGAAACACCCAGTGAGGGAACAGTGCTGGATGAAGCCTATCAGGTGGGGGAATACCTTTTGACAAAAATAAATACTTTAATGTTGCTTAATGCAGGGAAAAATGGACCAGCACATTCAGCATTCAGATGATTCTGTGGAAAGGTGGTGGTGGGTTGGAGGAAGAACATTACCTTTTTCATTCCTCCTGCAGCCCCACTTGACAATCATTTGAGCCCTGCTATGGACCATAAACTCCAGGCAGATCCCTGCCCAAAGACAAAAATCAGCAGCTCCGAGCATCCCTGCCTGATCACCTGAAGATCAGGAGTAGCTTGTTCCTTCCTCCAGAGTGCCCTCAACCTTAGACAACCGTCAACAGCTCTCCCTGGGCTGTCCTGGCCCCAAGACCACCACTTCCATTAGCCTTAAGGCCACCCAGAGCCAACTGCGCAGCGAACGCAGCAGGAGAGAGGGCAGCACGCTCCCGGATTATCACAGCCCGCAGGATCGCGGATTAGAAGGAAAGGCTGTTCCTCGGGAGGGAGCGGAGCACATGGTTTGACGGGCTGACCTTGCCGGGGCTGGGGGCGAGGGGAGCGGGCGATGCGCCACTTCCAGCCCGGGCAATGACGGAGCAGAATCGCTGATCCCAGCAGGGCACGGACCGCGCTCCAGCTTCGCAATGCTGTTAGTGCAGATTCCTCTCTCCCCTACGACTTTTTTTTTTCCTTAATATTTTTTTCCCAAACCTTTGTGGAACAGACGCCCTCTCCTTGCCCCAGTTGGAGCTGCAGTAGAATGAAAAGGGGGGTGGGAAGAAGGGAGGAGAGGAGGGGAAAAAAAACCCCGCTTTTGGTTGAGGTTTTCCTGTTACTATCACTGTAGCGTTTATTTAGCCAATCTCCTAACTATGACGTGAGGAAGGCAGGAATCATGGCTCGCTCATAATATTTAACACACCCACTGAAAGCTGGAGCTGCAGAGCTACTAGTCCAACCAGTCTCCAGAATTCAGTGTAGCTGAAAGAGGTTTTCACTCTGCACCTGCCAAAGATCTCTCCCCCCTCTTTCCTTCTCTCCCCCCTTCTCTCTTCCTTTCTCTCTCTCTCTAAAAGGCAGATCTGTAAGACCCAGCAGAGATCAAAGACCTCTTCGCTAAAAAGAACCTCTACTGATTTATATTAGTTTCTTTCCTCTAATCCTTCCTTCTCCCCCCCTCTTTTTTTTCTGTGCCATATTTAACCTTTATGTTGCAGTTGTGCCATCAGACAGTTTTGCAGCCAAAAAAAACCAACCCAAGCCAAAGCAAAAGCCCAGCTCGGATACAGCAGCCACCCAGACTCGATCTCAGTTGAACATACTAATCTCTCCCAAGCACTGGACGCGATGGACGAAGAAACTGGAACTGCTCTAAGAAAATGATTTTCCAGCCAATGTTCTTAAAGAGTCTGAGAGAAGAGAGGGAGCGAGAGCGAGCGGAGAGCGCTTCTGCTGCATCACTGCTCAAATCCAAGGGAAGGGAGTCAGCGTTTCCAGCACAGCCAAATATTATGGATGATTTTTTTTCTTCTGTCGCCTTTCCGCACAGGTTTTCTTAATATTTTTCTTTCCCCCCTCCTCCTCCCCGTATTTTTTTTAAATTTTATTTAATCAGCGCCAGTGTCTGATGCCGGTTTCTCTCCAAGAGTCAGTTCTCGGTATTTGTTGTGATCCCTGTAATAAAAAGGAGAAATCGTGAACAGATGGCTTTCTATATTGCCATGCCGCTGGCATTGTTTTCCTGTTGATTTTAAAGGCTCGGTCCGGAGCTCCTTTTTTTTATTATTTTTTTCTTTTATTCTTTTTTTTTTTCCCCTCCCCCTCCCAAGTTCTTGATGATACTGAGAAATGAGGACCTATCGGGTTTAGCCTGTTTATTTCTCGGCGCCTATGGAGGTAACTTTATTGACTTGATCGCTCGCTTCCCGACCCGAGAGGAGCAACCCGGAGCCCCGGGGGGGGCCCGGCAGCCCCGCGCCCGCCCGGGCTCTCTCCGCCGCCGCCTCCCCTCCCTCCCCCTTCCCCCGGTAATTCATCAGCCGCCCCGGCCATGAAAATGCTCCTGGTCCGCAAGTTCCGGGTGCTCATCCTGATGGTGTTCCTCGTCGCCTGCACCATGCACATCATGATCGACCTCCTGCCGCGGCTGGAGCGCCGCGGGCCCGAGGGCCGCCCGGGCTGTTCCTGCCCGCCGCCCGCCGCCGCCGCGCCGCCCCGCGCCGCCCCGCGCTGGCCCAGCAAGCACACGCTGCGGATCCTGCAGGACTTCAGCGCCGAGCCGGCCTCCAACCTCTCCTCGCAGTCGCGGGAGGCGGCGGCGGAGCGGGCGGCGGGCGGTGGAGGCGCTGGAGGCGGCGCGGGGGCGGTGGCGGCGGCGGGGAGGACGCGGCGGCTGATCGGCCCCGGGGCGCCGCGCCCGCCGCCCCCCGCCGCCGCCGCCGCCGCCGCCCCGCTGGCCGCCCTCTTCGAGCACCCGCTGTACCGCGCCGCCCTGCCCCCGCTGGCCGACGGCGACCTGCTCTTCAATGTCAACAGCGACATCAGGTTCAACCCGCGGGCGGCCGAGCAGCCCGAGTGGTGAGTGCCCCGGGGGGGGGACACACACGGGGCTCCGGTTGTGCCCCAGTGGGAACGTGGCGTGTCCCCGTGTCGCTGCCCTGCGTTGGGTAGCGCGGGGTTTAGCCGGGCACTGGCGAGGAGCGGTCTCGTGGCTGGTTTGGAGTGGGTAGAGGGTTAAACTGAGCGACTCGGGGTCACTGGGAAAAAAGGGAAACCATTCACAGGCTCGGCCGGACGTGTTCTTTCAAAAATTAGATGCCATGACATACAGAATAAACACAGGAGCTCGGGAAGGCTGGAGCGCTGAGGCCAAAGGGTCCGTCTGCCCCATCTCCAGCTGTCGCCGAGGCAGATGTTGCAAGAACAACGGTGTGAGGGTGAGCTCATAGTGAGCTTTATTCTCCAGCACCTTCCCACCTTCCCAGTCTCCCATTCAGAGGTGAAGGGGCTGAGCAGTGAGGCCAGGCAGTAATACATTAACTTTTCTCAAAAGCAAGGTCTAGTACCACAAAGGCATTCATCCTGGCAGGTATTTCCACTCTCGGGATCAGATCTGTGCTACATTTTTCATCCTCAATTAATTCCCAGTGCCCTACACCTCCGCTGCTCTCCAGCCTTCAAAGCAGCCAGTTGCCTCTGTGAATCGTATGCCCTGTTGGCTCCTAAGAAATGCTGAGAAATTTCAATGACTGAAAAATCAAAAGGGTTGTCTAATACAACAGCACCCTCTTCCAAACACACTGACATTGTAATGTTTAAACAGCTGCATTGTACCGTGCAAAAGCTCTGTCAAGCTGCAGAGCAGCCAGCATGATCTAAACCTTTAGAAAGAGAGGATAAATAATTCTGATTTCCGCCCCATGAGCATGTGAATTGTCCAGGCCTCTTCCATCTAATAATCCTAACTGACTGTGAAGAGAAATAACCTGAAAAAGTTCTGGTTGCTCTGAGAGTAAAAGAGAAAAAAAAAAAAGTCACAAATGCCTGAACATCTGGAGATGACTGTAAACACAGAGAACTCTGGATAGAAAATATGGGATAGTCTGTTCAGTAGGTGAACAGTGAAATCATCATTGATGTTCACAATGCAGCTGCCTGTTGTACTTATTTTCCGTGGTGGCTGCAGCCAAAGTTCACAGAACTAACATGAAATTTAGAAGGTAATAGTCATTAAACAATTCTTTGCTGTAGAAATATCCCACTGCTTGGGAAGGGGCAAAACCAGCCAGTTCTTCAGCAACCAGTTCAGAGCAATCCAGTTTCTTCTCATTATCTCTATTTAAGAATGAAGAGAGAGAGTGGGAGCATTGGGTACCACAGGTCAGGTTGCTGCTGCACTCTGGGTTCCCAGCTCCATGTCCCTGTTAAATAAAGATTCAGGATGATGCTCTCCTTTGAGTCAGACCTGTAAAAGCTCTGTGTAACATGATACAAGCTAAACACGAGATAAAACTTGAGCTCTGTGTTTCTGCTGTATAAGGGGCTCTGCCAACACTCAGTGGTGTCACTCTGAGTTTTGCTCCTGACTTTGATGGCCTTTCAGTCAGGCAGGATGAGTGGAGGTGAGAATCCATCTCCCCATTGACCCCACGTGGGAGCCTACTCCTGGCATGGAGCTGGTGCAGAGAGAAACCTGGGACCTCTCCCCACTCTGTAGTGCTTTGCCTTTCCAAGTTGCCACATTCTGAAGCCCTGTTTCTTGATGTATGTTACAAACTGTAACATTATTTCTTTCTCCTCAATTTTTGGGTTTTGTTGTTTTTTTCTTCTTTTTTTTTTGGTGGTAGGCAAAATGAAGATCATCATGAAGAATTTTTGCCAACAGGAGAAACCTCCATAGACTCCTACCCAAACTGGTTAAAATTCCACATTGGCATTAATCGGTACGAGTTGTATTCCAGACATAATCCTGCAATTGAGGCTTTACTACAAGACCTTGTCTCCCAAAAGATAACCAGTGTTGGTATGTTTGGATATATGTTATTTGTTTATTATTATTTGCTCTTTGTTTAGGATCTCGTTGTTTGAATATAAATATTTTGCATGGCTTCTCTCTGGTGTCCCTACAACATTGCTTCCTTACTTCTCTGCTCATTTTCCCTGTTAAACATAAGGAGATATTGCCAGCTCTGTATGACCTGAATAATTGCCAAATCTGCCAGCAAGGCAAACCCCATTCATTTCAGAGATCTTTCAGTCGCAATCAGGCTGAAAGTGCCCTATTTAGTTATTTAAAATAAATATGATAATAAAACAGAAAAGGATGGCAAAAATCAGATGGCATCTTGCACAAGCTGGATTTGTATTATTAGCTGGTTATTATTGAAAAGGCTGTGTCTGGCACAGCCTCGTGTTCCCGAGGAAGGAGAGGCGGCTGACCTGCAGCCCTGCAGTGATGGCCGCGGGAGCATCCGGCACCGCGGGGCTCTGCGGCTGCCGGAGCTGCAGCTTCCCTGGGCATCGCGCAGGGAGCTCCAGGCGAGCCAGCCTCCCGCTGAGCAGAGTTCAGCTCTGTTTATTCTGCTTGTAAATCCACAACGGGGATGTGCCCGTGTCAACCTTTGGCTCTGGTTAAACAAGGTGACACAGTTCGGGGCTTTTCTCCAGGGTTGTTTAATGGCAACGTGTGTGTCTCCTTGAATTTAGCCGCGTAGCTGCACGGGGGAAAAAAATGACACAGTCCCCAAATGAAAGCCCTGGGATACTAAACAAATGCACACCCCGTGGTTTCCAGAGGTAGGGAGCTGCAGCACAGGCGGTGGTTTCCATCCACCATGCAGAAAATGAAGTTACTTGTGCTGACCACAAAGTTGCAAAGTCCCTTTCAGAGGGATGAAATAGCAGGAGCTCTGTAAAAGTGCTGATGGTGTGTTGGCACTGTGGGATGAGGTCAGCAGGTCTTTAACCCTGCAAGGCAAAAATTCCCCCAGCTTCAGCAGGAAATGGCCTGGGCAAGAATAGCTCAAGCAGCCCTAAGGTTTACATTTTCCATTGTGTGAATCACAGTGGCTGCTGAGCAGGAATAAAGGAGATCCTTGGTCATCAAGAGTGGGCTGATTTAGCCGGTTGGGATGGAGTAGGTGTAAAATGCGGGATTGCTACAGGAGAGCTTTGCCTCCGTGAATCTTGCTGCCTGGTGGCTGTGCTCAGCACGCTGCTCTGCTGGGGCAGCATTTTGAATAAAGCACTTTGTGGTATCCAGGTGCCATCCCACATGTTGGATTCAAGGGTCCAGTGGACACGTAACTCATGAAAGATGACAAACGTGGACTCATTTATTAACCTGTTCTGGCTTTTCTGTCCCCAAAAGTCTGTGATTCACTAAGGAGGTTGGGTTTGACAATTAAACCATGTATTTTCCCTTCCCTAGCTCAGAGGTGACACTGCAGGTAGCAGCAGTCTCTGTATGGACATGGCCTGGATGGTTTTCTCCTTGATATAGCCCTCACCTTTCCTGACCTCGCCCCTCAATACCGAGTGATTTTTGGAATATTAGTGACACGTGCAAATGGGGATTGAGCCAGCACTTTGTAACACGGGTTGACGTTGCTCTTTGGGCACATCCATTGAGGAGGGAAAGATGCAGTCTGTGCCCTTTCCTGTCCCCACAGTGAGCAGCAGAGCCCAGGCAGTGTCCTCAGCACTGTGCAGAGGTGATGCTCAGCCAAGTCATCTCCTGGCCCATCTCTTGAGGCTTGCACAAAGTGCACTGGCTGTAGCAGTGTTTTGTACTGCATGGCTGCCGAGTGTATTGATTTCTACTTACCTCCTCAACACCTCAGAACTCAGCTGTGTTGTCTGTGCAGGAGGAGAGCAGTGTTTGCAGCAAACTTGGCAGTGTTTGAGCCACGAAGTCTGTCACTTCTTCAGAGCAGTGGGATGGGTAAGGTTGATGTAGGGACATAGAAGCTGGTGGGAGAAAAATGGAGGTAGGAGCGAGGAATAATAGTTTAGTACTCCCTCTTCACTTGATCATCTGGGCTTGGTCTTCACTTGTGCTTCTGGGCATGTGGCTTCACCACTCTGTGCTTCAATTATCCTAGCAGCAAAACATTATCCTCATAAAACATAGGAGTGAAATCCTGACCCTGGTGACGTAAGTGGAAGTTTTGCCATTTGCTTCCCTGGGGCCATGGTTTCACCTAATGTGTCATAGAGATGTGTCATGGGGTTTCCATTAATTCTGATTTTGATAGAGCTTTCAGATCAACGAGGGGAAAGGGCCATGGGACCACAGAGGAAGATTTATGGTTGCTATTAGCTATTCCCTTTGGGATTGTCTCTGTTAATGTTTGAACAAGGCTCTTAAGAGCATGGTAGGGCCTCTTAGGCCTCTAACAAAAACACAGAGCCATGGTTTCTAGCAATGAATCAGTAAAATTTCCATAAATTAAACCATGAGGTATATTTGGTGTTGGTATTGGCCACTGTGGTAACTGACAGAGAATGATTCCTACACATAAATCCCAGTTTAAAATCAAGTGTATGGAAATGGAAAGGGGACTTTTGCTGATGTAGAGGTGCCAGGATCTGAATTTTGGTGGGAGCATTCATTGTCTGTCCCTGTGGGGGTTTGGGAGCTTTGTCAGGTTGCAACAAAAGAAAGAACATATTGTTAACATTTTTTGAGATGAGACTGGAGGTTAATATACTTTCTTTTTTTATTATTTATTACACAATGCAGCATCTCTTATTTTATGTTCCAAATTCTTTGGGTGTTTAAAAATACATGTTTTAATGTAATTCCTGCCAGTTTTCAGCTTTACTGCAGAGCAGCACAGGGATTCAAAAGCATTTAAGCTGATTAATAAAGAGTAATATATTTGACCAAAGGACATTTATAGGTCTGTTAACATTCTTTGCAAACTCCTGCATATCTTCTAATTAGTCTTTTTTTTTCCTTGCGGTCCATTTTTGCTGGGTTTTTTGTTGGTTTTTTTTCCTCTAAGGCAGCTGGGAAGATATCAGCTTAGGAGTATAAAATAAATTGAAACCTTTACAGTGCCCAGTCTTCAGGCTTCTTTTAGCAAGCAGGACAATTAAATATACAGGGTTACATGCATTAGATGAAATGGGATATTGCTTTATCCAGTTTCTTCCCAGTATTCAGATTTAGTTTGGCTCTAATAGAATTAGATGCTTTGCTTGATACCCACAGTAATTAGATCCAAACTGCAGCAAAACAGCCTTTTTGGCCACACTGTGATTTCTCTGCTCAGCTTGCATTATTTATGGGGGAGAGTGGTGACCAGATTGATCTCCCACGTCTATTAGAACCACTCACATGACTCTGAAACGTGCAGTGGTATTTTAAAATGAAAACGGTGACAGAAGCAATTCCCAAGAGCAGGGAGCACCAAGGTGACATTTTCTTGATGTTAAAGTTTAAATGGAACAATTCCATGGATGGGAAGGAGCATCACATCCAGCTCCCACAGTGACACCTAGAGCTGGCCTGGAAAAGGACAGGGTTACCCAGGCTCTCGGGCTGAGGATAAATTCTGCGCCCTGCATCAGTATATATATTTCCTATTCATTTTGTTCAGCATAAAGGGATAGCTCTTAATTTGATTTAATTCACTGAAAATTTCCTCTTGCCATAAATAGGAGCCTAGAGAGAATTGCTTTTCCACTGAGCACTGAAGCCTGGTTTTCAGAAGTACATGCACAGGCAATTGCACATTTCCTTTGCCTTTCATAACTGTTTATTGCATGCATAAATAACCATAGTTAGCTGTTTTCTTGCATATTTACAAGATGTCTGTGCATAATTGTTGCAGTACTGTCAGCAGCTTGACACCAACTCTGGCATGGTGCATTGTAGGGGCAGCGTGGGCTTGGTCTTGCTTGTATTGCTGTCCAGAGGGGCTGTGCTGTGGGATTGCCTGTCAGCAGAATAGGCCTTGGTGATTCCTCTGTTTAGCTGGGGTTTATTTTTTGATTCTTTAAATCCTCTGGTTGTAAAGGTTTGGAAACCTGACTGAGGTAATTTCTGAACCTCTGATGCCTTCAGTTTGTTCAGGCAGTAATTAGAAAGCAAACCTCCGAGATTACTCACGCAGGGGATAAATGCTGCAATTACCTGAGGTGGACTCTGCTTCAAGGCAGGCAAAAAAAAAAAGGGGGGGAAAGAAGAAAAAGACAAGATGCTAAATATTGCACATAAATTCTGATTCTAAAGAAAAGTGTAAAAATCTCATCCAAAAGAAAGGAAAAAGTGCTTTTGAGAACTTGAGAAAAACATAATGAAATGTAGCACCATTGATTTACTGTATAAGAAAACAATGAATCTGCCAAGAGTCAGCAGATTGATTTAATGTACAATTCCAGATGAAAGGAGGGGACTTAAAAAGTACAACAAAGCCTAAGAATAATTTCACAGATCTCTTCCCCTGCAGAAGTCTTTTACTTTCTTGACTAAACCAAGAAAGTCCTTTAAAAACAAGTTAGCAGAACTGACTGAACAAGGACAAATTAAGAGATAATGAGGGCTTGAATTTGTTTTGAAATATGTTCTTTACTGCTCGTACAGGGCCATGTCTCTAGCCTGGGGCAGAGCATTACTTGTTAAAGCCAATCAACATGTTTATGTTAGATTTAAGCTTGATCTATAAATAGGAATCCAAAATGGATCTGAACATCCTCTGTTTCAGATGTTAATTGCATCCCAGGCTGGGACTGGATCTCACTTCTCAGGCATTAGCGCTGCATAATTAAATATATTTTAAAACGTTTGTTGGATTCTGACCAAAAGAATCAGAAAAGGTTCAAAGATCCTGTTGGGACTCTCACTCTCCCTCAGAAAACCATATGGTCTAGATAGGCTGGTAGGACCAGGGCTATCATGGAGTAAACCAGAGGAGCTGGAAAGCCAGACCAATTGAAATTCCAAACTCTTCTGGGTCAGATCCCTTTGGGCAGGATTGTATCTCTACTAGGAGTTAGTACCGGATGGTAGCCAGAAACTCTGTGGCATACAGTTTTAAAAAGATGACTGAGAGATGATAGGTAAGGTATCTTTTATTGGATGGTGTGTTTGGCTCAGGGAGGGAATTCAGGACTTGTGTTGGTGAGGGGACAGGGTGGGGAAGTAGCAGACATGGAATGTGGCCATGACAGCAGGCTCTTAGATGTAAATGGAATGGGGATTTTTGCAGACTTGATTCAAAATCTAACAGAGAAAACAGAGAGAATCCCACCAATTTCACTAATCTTTGGACAAGACTCTAATCCCAGTCATTCAAGCAAAAAGATTTCTCAGGGAATTTTTTGCAAAGCTTTCTAAAGTTGGAAGATTTCTGATCACACTCGAGAGCCCTTACACGGGGTTAACAGGAAAGGTTAATGCTGCTTTCCATTTCCTTCTACTTTGGGGGAAAAGAGAGGCTTTGAATTGCCTGAAGATGAAAAGTAATGATGGTATTGGGATTTGTTTGTAGCAGTGTGCCAGTACATCCAGGAGCTGTATGAGACTTGATTTGAAGTGCCTGTTGTGAGCTAGCAGGTTCATAAAGCCTTTTACAGAGCTGTTTGTGACCTGTGATGTTACAGTATATTAAAAAACCTTAAAAAAAAAAAAGAAAGGTGAATTTAGAGAGTGACTAGTGGTTCCCTTGGAGTCAGTACAGCCTTGTGTTGCAGGGCCTTAGTAAAAATCCCTAAGCCTGCTGATCAGACGTGACAGACTGCAATGGTGTAGCATCCTCCACTTCCTTGGAGAATTGGATCCATTGCTTCTGGGTATTATACATTCCTCAGAAATGTTCCTGTGGGCAGTAGATGAAGGTACAAGAATATCTCCAGATGAGCAAGCACTGTTCATTTGGGATAAACCCCTGGAAGATGACAGGGCTCCTGTTATTTGGCCAAAATGGCCAGAGAGGTGTGTTTAACTGAGGTCTGAGCAGAAAAGGGAGTTCCTGCAGGAATACAGCTCAGGAAATGAGACGGAAGCCAGTATGCAGATGTGATGCTAAGTCAGGACAAGGGAAGTGATCTGACCTAGAGGTCGGAGTGAATCATCTCCAATGAGATCTTCTCTTTTCTGGCGTTGCCACCCCAAAATTTGGGCATCCTGGACTTTGCCCAAGCCTACTTAGTTTACAGGTACAGCAAGGGCCTTGTTGAGTTTAAAAGAACAGTCTCAGTTTAGGTGTTTCCATCTGTGCAGGGATTACAATGCTGGGCTCTAACTAGTCTGCATTTGGAGGGTGGCCTTGAATCACACCCAGCCTGACCAGCACATCTGTGGCACTGGCAGAGCAGACAAAGTGGGAATATCTGCACGCAAGTCTGGATGATGGGGTGGGAAACCAAGGTGCAGTTCTGGCATGGGCTGTTTTCCATGATGCATGTGGGTTCCAGCATGCCCTGCCAGAAAGCACGATGGGACACCATTCCCACCAGTGTCACCCTCTGGCTTGGAGGGGCCCAAAGTTTGCTCCTCACAGCAGTGGAGGAACAACGTGCCAGCAAAATTTGTGTTTGGTCGAGGCCACGGGTGCAACCAATTAAGGCAACACAATACAAGGGATCCAAAAAGACGAGGGAGACGCTTTTGTCTTACTGCGGCTCAATTCCTTCTGACAGGAAACCAGGCTTGTGTGTCTCATGGAAGAATTACTCTGAATTGTTAATCTTCTTCATACGTTTCCCTGCCTGGTGATGACATACTCGCTGTGGAGTTTGGCTGCTAACAAAATCATTATCTGTCAAGTGGCTTCAATTTTCTGGGAAACCAGTTGCCTTAGCGTGTCCAAAACTTTGTGCTTAGAAAAGGGCGTGATGAAACATCCCTTTTTCTTCTTCTTTGCATTGCTGTGATTGCAGGGGGGTTAGACTAGTTGATATTTAAGGTCCCTTCCAACCCAAGCCATTGTGTGATTCCGTGTTTTATTTGAAATCCTGCACCTCTGACAGTGGTTGGGCAGGGAAGGTGGTCAGGACTGCCCTGTGTGTCCCTGTGGGCATGAGGCCAGGGCAGCTCCAGCTGCCTGCTTGCTGTCCAGACTCACCAGGGGTGTTTCCAGAGTGCACAGCTGGGTGTGATGGTCCCAGGGCACCGCATGTAGGTTTTGGACTGGAGGATTTCTGCTTCTCATTGCCCTCAGGCTGTGGGTTGGGTATGAAGAAGCCTAGTGCTCCTTCTCCCCTCAGGTGCAGATCAACTGACCTGTTCTGCACAAAAGAAGGAGTTTAATCCATGAAAGCCACGTGCTTCTGCTTTACCTGGTCAATGCAAATTGCTTAATGCCCTTTAATTTCTAATTATTAATTTGTTCCTTTGGGATAAACTGGAAATGCAAGAGAAGGCTGGGATCAGCAAAACAGCAAGGCAAGAGGGATTTTATTCCAGAAGTATAATTACACTAACCAGATTTGCATAACATTTTGTTGCAAAAGTATAGATTACAAGTGCTGAAAGAGAGCTGATGACCTATCAGTGATAAGACACAGAGATGAGTAATTAAGAAGATGTGCAACCAATGGCATTGGTTAGAGAAAAAAAATACAAGCTATATAGGTGGAACAAGGGCAACTCTAAGCCAAAATTTACAGAGCAAGATAACCTGACATTTATGTAGTTCTCCAGTTGACATGAGTTTTGTCAGAACTCTAAAGAAAGGGATTGATTATCTGATGATTCGTAGAAAGCATCTCGAAAGGCCTGACTCATCCACACAGCCCTGACAGCCATGCCCTGCCTCTCCCAACACAGAAGTACATTAAGGAGTTGGGCTATAGGTCATTTCATTTATTCAGAGCACTTTTGAATGAGGCAGTAAAAAGCAGCTGTTTGCCAAAGTCTCATGTTTATCTTTTTCAAGTAGCCTTATCATCAATTAAAATGCATTTTTATGAATTCTTATACATATAGAAAAATCACTCCAACTTTAGAAACACTATAATCTGGCTGTTGCTGTGGTATTGTCCAAATTTTTCAGACTAGTATGAATAAATATCAGTCTTAAATTCCTGCTATCTCCCAGCTGGGAGGTGAGCATAGCCCTCAGTGTGCAGTGTGGGCCACTGTCCTTGCTGCCTCCATGTGTCCTCTCCTGCCCTCCCAGCCAAACCAGGGACCTGCTCTGCACAGCTCCACTCTTATGTATGAACCACCTTGGGATCCCTTGAAGTTAATAGCTGGGCTGGATACAAATCCATTGTGCATAGAGGAGGTGAATTTACATATCTCTACTGCTCAGCAACCATTAATAAAATCACAGCAGTGATCAAAGATTGCTGCAGTATCTGCTCGTGCTTTTAATTAAGGAGATGTCTGCTGTGCATTGGACTGTACATCCCAGCCGCAGATGTCTTTGAAAGCACCCCGTCTCCTTTCCCAATGTGTGTCCCTTGTTAAAAGGAACTCTGAGAGCAATTGAAGATGGAGAAAACAAGACTCCAATGGTCTGTTCCTATCCGTGCTGTTCAGTCAGGGTGCTTATGGAGCCCACAGTGGCCAGTTGAAGAAGACAAAGATGTGTCAGGAAATACAATCTGTGTTTAGTCCTGGTCAGCAGCCCAAAGCCCTTCCCTGTGCTCTGATAATCTCTTGTCCAGATAGGATTACCCTGCTTTGTGCTCCAGTGCCACAGTGCTGCATCTAATACAGAGCAAAATAGATATGATTTGGTTTCAAGGAAGCTGAATTAAGTAGATCCACATGTTGCATTTTAAAACAGTTTTGTTTTTTTCCCCCCAGCGATGAAATCAGGAGGCACCCAGCTGAAGCTGATCATGACATTCCAGAACTATGGACAAGCATTGTTCAAACCAATGAAGTAAGTCAAAGAAGTGTGTGTTGTTAAGTGAAATTGGGGTGGAATAGCCATTTTCTAAGCTGTTAAAAGTTTGCTGTAGTATCTCTCAAGGTTAACGTGTCTCATTCCTGAGGCTTGTTCCTGAGTCTGGAGCTTCGGGATCTGTTGATACCTTGTTCTGCTAGACTGGTCTTTGGAAGAGATGCTGAGGAGGCTTCAGAGACATTAGAGTCTTGTCAGGAATGTTATTCACTCTGATCTCTGTGAAATCTCCCATCATAAATACAAGATGTTTTCAGCATTTCTTTCCTATATAAACTTACTGCACAGGTCTGAGTTTTATCTAGTGTCAGTGCTCCTCTGGAACATGGCCAGACAAGAGAGGTGGTTCAGAACAGCTTTGGGAAGAGCTAAATAGTATTTGTCTGATAAATTATAATTTAATCAGTTGATTTATTGTTGTTTGTGTTAAAGGCTTGTATTAGTCATTTGACGGTGGCTATGCTGAGTCTCTGAAAATGAGGTTATCCGAGAGTGGTACTGCAAGGTAATGACTCTGGAGAGAAAGGGAAGGACTAGGATTATGTGGCCTTGACTTGTGCCTGCCCAGGTCCCACTGAGATAAGTTATTCAAATACAAAGCAGATGTAAATGACTCCTGAATCCTGACCTGTATGTTTGTGTTGTAATAAGGAAAATGACTCTGCTTATTGTAGAGAGTTCATCAAAGATGCTCTGGGCTGCAAAATGTTTAATGAAGCTACTCAGTATCTGTGTCAAGGGTACCACTGGAATAATAAATTCATTTCCTTCTTTTGTTCCCACTGTAGGGAAGTTCAGTTAATTTTCTCTATGATGGTCCATAAAAGACTAAAGTAACTGAGAATGAGTGGTTTGGAATATGTGTTGGCATTGTGTTAGAGCTGTAGTGGGGAGCACAGCTCAGAAGGAAGCTGCTGGCTGGAGACTGAGAAATTCCCTATTTCACTATAGATTTTGCTATAGATTGACTTCAGAAAAGTACAGATTTGACTTGATTTTGTTTGACTTGCAGAAGGGCCAAAGAATTGGTCCCATTTCCCCTCAACCCAAGTTTGTGGAGGAACACTCCCTATGTGCATCTGTCCTGGGAATCACAAGGAAATCCTATGAACTTTCAGGCAGCACAAGGCATTTGTGCAAATTTGTTATTTCTCAATTGCACACAAATTTTTCCTTGTTTTCAGTGGATCTCTGGTTGCCTGGGAGAGGTTGGAGGAAGCACAGACAATACTGACAAGTCAGAGGGAAGGTGGTAGCAGAGAGCATCTGCTCCAGCATCTGTCCTTCCTCTCCCTGTCCTCTCCCCAAATTTTCAGGTCACCAGTACATGAACCCATCCCCTTTATCTGCAAGTTTGATGTGTATAGGCACAATTCCTAGTTGTGTCTTGTCCCATGTGCAAAATCAAGAACCCAAGGGGGTTTCAAGCAGCCTTTAAGTATTTGGCAGAGTCGTGGTTGCACTGTTGGCTTTTTACATAGTGTGTGATTTGCTCCTTCTCTGTTTTCTCAGATGCAGATAATCTCAGTCTTTATCATTGGTATGACATTGTAATTCTGGGAATGTTAATGAGGTCAAATCAAAAGTTTGCCACTGCTACTGTGCTATACACAGCCTCAGCAGGATGATGGATGACAATAGAGGTGTAGCCACATTCCTGTGTAGAAGCAATTACTACCATCCACTAGAACAAAACCAGAAAATGATGATGTCTTAATCATTCCCTTTGCTTGATTTGAGGGGCAGCAGTGCCCTGTTTTCTCACTGCTCTTTGCATCACATATACCCCTGGAAGAAGCACTCAGCATCTGCTGTTCCAGTCAGCAGACCTTACAGGAGCAATGCTGCTGCAGTTGTGCTGAGCGTCACTGAACACATTAGTGATTTTGAATAAGGGTGTTTGCAAGCATTTGTCTTCATTCTGATAACAGGGAACAGGGAGCCAGATGCTCACCCAGCGTAAATCTTCCTGGCTCCTTTGGCATCTGGTCCCATTGGCCTCTTTCACTGCCTTATGGACTGAGGTTGATGTTCTTGGAGAGGTTTGCAGCATCATTTCTTTATACAGAAATAAGCAGCCTAGAACAAAATAAAAATAATTAGTAAAAACCCCAGGCTTTAAATCTAGGAGACTTCTTGTAGGATCTTCTTCACTCCCTAGATACTTTCCAGGCTGTTCCTGGTGCTCTCTCCTTTCTACAGGGTATCCTTTTGATTGAGGCTTCACAAAGCTGGTTGTTCTTTCCCAGGGCAAGAGGCAGTAGGGAGCTCACAGATCAGGGACAGACATCTCTGATCATCAGGACTGATAGTGTAAAGGACAATTTTTTTTTTCCAAATACTTTTATTTGAGAGCCATAAAATGTCATCCTGGTGGCTACTTCTGAGATCAGCTCATTAAAGGAAGCCCTTGGTGGATAGTCAGGTTGTCTCCACCTGGTTCATCCTATGTGTTTCAGTTGTTGCTGTGTTATCAGCTCCATGGCTTTTCAAAGCAGCAGAAATTACACTTTCTCATGAGCTGATAAGCCTTTTCATAAAAGCAGCCTTCTTCATGAACCCCGGGTAACAGGGCCATTAAATAGTGCTGAATGTCCAGCTGCAAATGATAACTGGGGCCTCAGTTTGTCTCTTAGTACTGGAGGGGCAATGTGAGTTACATCTCTATGTTAAACTGGAATAAGCCACTGTTCTTTAGAGAACAGAGTTGGCATCAGCAGGATTTCAAGCCTTATCCCAAGGAATACTGATAATCCAGAGTTTCCCATCCTGTCTGAGGTCTGAAGTACTGAAAGCTGCATGGTGTGAGGTACACAGAGGGTAAGATGTAGACATGAGGCCAGTCTCTACTTGGATTGGATTCATTTGAACTACCTGGAAAGCTGTTTTTGCTGTACATAGCTGTACTCAGTATCTTCTAAACTGAATAATACCTGTTTTGAGTGGGATTGCAGCAGGTTGGGGAGACCATACCAACCCTTCCCTGACACAGCAGGGTATCTTCTAGAGGGAGGGGAGGTCTCCAGACTTTTGGCAATGACTTCTGCAGAGGAGTCACAGCAAAATGTGCTCCCTGGAAAACTGGTGGAGACCCTGCAGAACTCATCTGACTGGCTCTGCCCTTTCCCAGCCTCCCGATTCCATGTGGAATTTATCCAGGGAGAAAGCCAGCTCTGGAAAGGCCCAGGCAGGATTTGGAAGTGGTGAAACCAGAATCAGCCTTTGGCATCTTTTATGCTCTGTGTTTGACATTAACTGACAGCTCTTCATCTGGTCATTGATTCAGGATAGTGAAGCAAATGAGAGGAGGGAAGCGTAGAAGTCAGGGAAATGTGATAGCAGTAAATAAAGCCTGATCAGCTGCAATTATTTTATTTATTCGTGGCTCTGAATCTTCATTTCTGAAATAATGGCCCATAAAGTATTGCAGAGGAAGCCAAATCTATTTATAAATCCTCTGGCCCAGTGTAGATTCCTTTACTAAGTCTAAATGCATGATAGAAAAAGCACGTATTTGCTAAAACTCCAGGGAAGATTTAATGTGTTTGCAATGTATCTTACACTTAATGTGTAGTTTTATTTAGCTCATAACAGTTCAATCATACAAAATTATTACCATATGGGACAGAAGAAAAATAGCAACCTCCCCTTCTCCCATGATTAGTGTGTCTAACTGTACTAGTATTGTACATACAGCATAATAAAACCTATTTTCATGATTGCTGATATCCACAGTTGCAGCTTTCTCTATGACTTACCAGGTAGGGATGGGTAGAGCCATAAATTTCAAAGGGTTTTGGCTCATTTCTCCAAAAGGAACATACGCTCTCTAGTTTTATTTGGTTCCCCTTTGTTTCTGTGAGCTTGTGGAGTTAAATAGCTGGCTGAGCCACAAAACCAACATGCTATTTTTTTCCCTCCCAAGGCTTTATTCTTGAAGAGGGAAATTCTGCTCCAACAGAGCCAGTGTTAGGATTCCTATTGCATACACTGGTGCCAGGATTTTGAGAGAGGTTTTTACAGTTCCTTATGGAAAAGCCAAATAGGATCCAATAGAAAATGATACCTAGTTACTGGAGTTGTGAGCAAAGTGTCCTGTGATCTGTGTTTAAGAATGACATCTCTAATTCCCAGTTTTATAGACTGCTTTGTACAAATGTGCAGAAGGGGTATTCATTATAAAATCTTTGAGGTTTATTTGTTCCATTGAAAGAAATACTACTGTATCTAGTGAACTTGCTTTTGGCTGAAACAGATAAAAGCCAGTTCTGTTCCAACTTTAGATTTTACTGGATATTTTTAACATCTTTTTTCTTTCCTTCTGGTATTATAAGTCACAATACAGTATCGGTAAGAGCCACATGGCTGTTTCTTTCAGTAGATGAAGTTCACAGTTAAAGTCTTTAGTGAAGGAGAACCAATCAGCATGAGGGTGATACCAGGCCAGAGGAGACTTTGGGGTCAAAAAATGAAGTGTCCTTGAATCACAGTTGGTTGTCTCCTTCATTAACTTATCAAACACTGCTGACTACATTTTTTGTAACTTTTGCCCTTGCTGTCCCTCCTGAAACTTGCTAAATAATGTTGCCCACTGGGAGCATCTCTATGTTCCTGAACGTTCAGAGCCCTGACCCATCCCAGCACCAGCCACAAAACCAGTGGGCAGCCACAGCCTAGGGCAAAGCTGGTGCTCTTGGGAAATGAAACAAGCACACCCACCTTTCTGTTTCTGTAAAGTTCCTGTAGCTCCCTTTTGGCTCAAAGACATAGGTGCTGTCAGCTGGGCTGAAACATGGCAGCCAAGGTCATGGGGAAGCTGAGAGTGGCGCTTGGGGATGTGGAGGTGACACTTGGGGATGTGGTGTAGTGCTGAACACAGTGTGTTGGGGTAACAACTGGGCTTGGCAGTGCTGTGTTAGTGGTTGGACTCAATGATTTTAGGGGTCTTTTCCAACCTAAATGATTCTATGATTTTTGTT